TTTCTCTCTCTCTCTCACTTTTGCCGGTCCTCCTTCTAACACCCCACCCCATCCCATATCATCCCCTCTTTTCTATCTCATTTTCTTTTTCTTCAAAGATGGCTGCCTTGGTTTTGTTAATTCAAATGCGTTTTTACTCTTCCTTCTCTCGCTTTCTCTTCTATTCTCTTCTCTCTCTCTCTCTCTCTCTTTCTCTTCTATTTTCTCTTACACTTTTATTTTCATTCCTTTTTTTTTTTTTCTTTTTCTTCACGCAATTTTAATTTAATCAAAAGCGGAAGAAGAAGAGCCGAGGGAGGAGAGCGTTCGTCATTTGGCGTACCTTTGGAGGAAAAGGTGGAGAAGTAAGGGGAAACAGGAGGGGGTAGGTTGAAAGAAGGGTTGGTAATGACGAGGAGGAGATGGAAGAATTAGAGGTAGAGGAGGAGGAGGAGGAGGAGGAGGAGAGAGAACATTTAAGGGAGGATTTAGAAGAAAAGGAAAAACGTGTTACACGTGTACGACACACCTCGAGAGAACACACCTCGCTTTTTATTTGAACACTTAGGGTAGAGTTTTGGGGCCCGGACCGCCGAGCAAGCATCCATTTTTGTTTATCTCATTTCCAATCGTTTCTCTTTCCCTTTTTTCTTTATCTCTTTCTCTCTCTCCCTTTCTCTTTGCCCCTCTTCTTTTCTTCGATTTATCTCTCTCGTTAATTTGTATTGTATTATTTTTCCAGCCCGTCTTTATATTATATTCATTGTCTCAGAAATGATATATGCACAAACAATTGGTGGCTATAATAAACGTTCTTTGAACATTCTTCTCATTCGATTTGATTATTGATAATCGAACGATAGGATATACATACTCCACGGTCGTCAGAAAAATCGGTTCGATCCGCGCCGAAGGAAGAGACGAGGATGACGCGATGGATGATATAATTTATTATTATACTCGCGACTTTTATTTTCTTTTTTTTTTTCTTTTTAGAGCTCGTTTTTCAAACAAATTTACATTCGTTCTCATTGCAATTGTCAATTATCATCGTCGGTAAATCAATCAGTATCATAATAATCCGTATGATCATCGTCAATTGAATAAATATATTTTCTTGCCATTTTCTTTCTTTCTTTTTTCCTTCTTCTTTTGAATTTTAATTTTAATTAGGACATACGAGCTCCGTTTGACTATCTTCTCTCTGTATTCCCCTCTCCTCCCCACCCCCACCAATCGGAATTTCTTTTCAATTATTCTTTTGGACGGCGGACAGAAGCGTCTCAACTCTCTATTTTTTTTATTTATTTATTTAATTATTATTATTATTATTATTATTATTATTATTATTATTATTTGTTCTTTTTTTTCCCCTTTCTTCTGTGTCATTTATTTTTATGTACTTTGTGTATGTGAGAGAGTATGCGCGCGCGTATCTGTCTGTATGTTTGTATATTTTTAAATAATCCATCCGTACCATCATTCTCGAAGCACGACGTATCCCAAGAAAGATGAAAGGGAATCATATTTAATTTATTACTTTTGTGTTTGATTTATCGGCGTATTTTTTTTCTTAAATTTTCTTCTAACGCGTGTGTTGTTTTTTTATGTCCTGGCATATATATTCATACATATATATATATATATATCTGTGCGTGTGATTTGCGTTCGTCAATAACGTCTCAGGGCCAGAGGGAGGACACGTGCAATTTCTTTCTTTCTTGGATTTATTTTTTTAGTTCGCGCGGTGGTTTAACGATCAGACACGAAAGACACCCCCGGAAGAGAAAGCTTCGTTCGACGCGATTTCGATTTACGATTTCAATTTCACACAATTTCAATTTTTTTTATATTTATTCAATCTATAGCACGCGTGTGTGTGTGTGTGTGTCTCGGCTCGTCCCGGCCCAAAAAAGTCGCGTGGCAGGTATTTTTTTAAGTCACCTTCGTTCTAAAGAAGGGGGCGTTGTATTTTCCGTTATTATTGGTTGCAATTGTTTGTTGCTGTTACTTTTGTTTTCCTTTTTTTTTTTTTCAAACTTTTTTTTTACTTTTTTTTTTTTTTTTTTTTTTTGTAATAGGTACACTTGTTGTCCTTTGACATTGTTATAATT